CCGAATTTGTTAAGTGAAGCATCAAACTTAATATGAGAGCAAATCCCATGAATGAAGAGCAACAATACACAATCCATTAGCCAAATGCCTATGATTATTTCACACTTCAGAAAGCTACTGATACATTCAACACATATAGTAACAGAAGGATAAATATAGATTACCTTCAATTTTCTTTATATTCTCTAGGTCTAGCAACAAGGATAAAAACTAGCATCCCAACCTTAATCACTATCATATTGGTCTGCAACACCACTCTAATGGCCCACTTGCAGAAGATGTGGTGGCGGAGAGGGCAATGAAGAGTTGCAGGACCAAGCTCCCCAAATTGTTTTCAGATTGATGCTCCCACATAAGAACTTTTCCCCTTCCTAAGTCAGGCAAAACATCAAAAGTTCGTCACAAGAACAATTATCTTGCCAACACTAAAATCATTTACCATAGACACTAGTGTGTGCATACACACACTGTCAAAATTAGACATTATTTTCCAGAGACAGCACCTAGATTGCTAATAGTTCTTTCTGCTTATTATGGTGTGCCTCTGCTGCCTCTTATGATCCATCTTCACCAAATGTTCATTGTCCATTCATGTCTGACTATTGCTGGACAGGACTCTCTGCAACTTTGTCAGATTATCCTAGGATCAGCATACCAGTCAATCAGCCTGTCAACCAACTGTTTATCTGACTACAGTCAAATATTGCCATATATTCTGCTAAACCAAGAAGGACACTGTGCAGACAGTGGCTTACCTCCTTTGTATTTCATTTAGGTGTTTTTAAGTACAGGCTAAGGGCTCGTTTGTCCTATCCTATAATAGTCAGGGACAAATCTAGCAGCACAGCAAAGGTTCTCCTACTGGTTACCCGTTAGAACTACAAGTACTTCCAAATAGACTTAGGAACATTTTTTTTAAATTTTATTTATTTAGCTGACATGACCAATGGTCTCAAGCACACCCACAGAATACAGACTTAGGAATGTAAGAACATAAGAGAAGCCATGCTGAATCAGGCTAATGGCCCATCCAGTCCAACACTGTGTCACCAAGTGGCCAAAACCCAGGTGCCATCAGGAGGTCCACTAGCTGGGCCAGAACTCCAGAAGCCCTCCATCTGTTGCTCTCCAAGCACCAAGAATACAAAGCATCACTTACTTTTTAATCCTTATTTCTCTGCTTTATTCTTTCTTTTTTAATTGCTGCTATAGTGTCACCCCAGGGTAAAAGCCAAAAAGAATTGTTCAGTAAATTAATAACAAATGTACAGAAGACATTCAGCATTCATGGAGGAGCCATTGCTGGGATCACTGCAAATGGTGAAATACACAAATACTGGGAGGAAGAAATGTTTGTGGGAACATTTGTTGTTTTGCTGTTGGGATGCAAGGGTCTGCTGCCTCCCAGTGGGAAAACAACTAAATTTCCCCCAAACCAACCCAAGTTCTTGCAAAATTTAACCCTGTAATGGTTACAGTGAGGGCACAGAGGGAGTAAAAACCGTCTGGAGACCATGTTACATGATCCAATCACATACGACAAATAAGTGAAGTCACCATCCATAGCTCTACAAATGGCTAAGGTAAAGTGCAAACAGTTGTAATAATTCATTACTGTTATAATTGGCCTGGAGACCACATGTTCATTGTAATTTTACCCATTGTGTTAAGTTATCTGTTCCTGTGGCCCTATTAGGCCTCATGGTGGTGAGTTTTTTTGTTTTTGCTTTTATTAGCTCACTAGAGAACTTTTTCCCTGTGAGGGAGGAGGGACTAGCGCCCTCCTCTTCCTGCCTTGAGCTTTATGGAAGTCAGGATGCAGGACTGGCCGTTGCAGTTTTGGAAGGAAATGGCAACCAAACCTCAATCAAAGGTAGCAATCACACAGTTTCAGACAAAACCTTCCCTCCCTAGGTCCCTATGTGCACTTTCTTGGCACTGCTGCCAGTGGCAGGCATGCTCCCATGTGTCAGAATCTAGGATCGATCCAAGCTGAATTCCAGGGTCAGAGTCAAAGTTCAGTTCAAAGGTCAGTTACCAAGAGTCCAGTTCAGAGTGTTATACAGTAAGCAGCCTGTGGTCATTCACAAGTGCAGGGAAGAAGATTCCAGAGTCAGAGCCAAGAGCCAGTCCAAGGGTCGCAGGAACAGAGCAGAGCTCAGAGCTGTGGTCGCTGAGTCAAGAGGTTGGTGACACTGCTTCCACATCAAGCCCATCTCCCTTGACTGGTTTTACAGGCCTCTGGTGGAAGGTCTTACCTGCCGCTGCTCATCATCAGCAAGCAGCTGGCATCAGGCCAGGAAACATGCGCTTTGTCTTCTCTCCTGGAGTTCCATTCTAAGCCTTAATCTCCAGCACTCAAAGGGTATGGGTGAAACTGGAGGGCTGGTAACGACCACCTGGGTTTCCTCTGTTGGACGGGACTGGAAGGTGCTAGTGGCTCTGCATCAGTTGTTGGCTATGAACTCTGACAAGCCTGCAGCTCATCTTCTTGTTTGCCAGTTTCTGCTGGTTCAGAGCTGATTTCCTGAGGCTCTTCTTCTCCTGAGGAATCCTCGCTGTTGCTGAGTCCTGGCTAACCCAAGAAACCATGCCAGGGAAGTATGGGCTTGGCCAGCTTATTTTAGCAAGGATACTTAAGTGTAGATGCATTGGGGAACTTGTATTTGTTTGTTTTTGCTTACCCTATTAGAGTGGTTGTGTCTTTTGTACTTTTTGACCTTTTCTGATTTAAATGTAATCTGTTAATATATGTTTTTCAAACCTTATTTGGGGTTTTCTGTATGCCTCAGGCTTGGTGGCTGAGCCAGGCCACTTCCCCTTGAAATACAAAGGGGCTTGGCCAAGGGAGTCAAAAAGATTGAAGGGAGAGGTAACTTGCCATGCCTCTATTCGGTAAAGCAAACCCTCCAAATCCAAACTGGTCGCAGTGGCAAACACCATTGTTTCATAATTAGCATTTATATCAAACCAAGTGATTATTAGAACAAACAGAATTTAATTAAACCTCACTATTCTTTAATAGTATTTTATACAGAGTTAGACATCTGTATCCTGCCCTAGATTATTCTTATCAACAAAAGTATTGTGGACTCAGAGAAATATGGGGCATTATTTCTCCTGCGGCAGTGAGCAGGTGGCAATTATCTGGAGATGTAAAGGCCTGCCCCCCCCAAAAAAAAACTGGCAATATTTGGGGGCTAGGGGCTGGAAAAACAGTCCCCTGAGGATTTTTTCACCCTATTTTTCCACTGGAAAAACAGATACACTAATGGGAATATTGAAACCTCCTATAGTTTCATATTAAGGAGAAGTGGAAACATTTTAAAGACAAGTTTTTTCCCCCACAGAAAAATGTATTGCAGACATTTTAATTTAAGACAATAAGCAGATGACACCCGGCTTTACTCTATCAGCTAAGCCAGGTGGATATGTGGAAGTCTGGAACTGGTGCTTGGAGAAGGTAATGCGATGGATGAAGGCCAATAAACTGAAGTTCAATCCAGACAAAACTGATTTGCTCCAGATCAATGGAGAAGCTGCTTGCGGACCGCAGAGTCAGCCTGTCCTGGATGGAGTTGCACTCCCCCTGAAAGAGCAGATTTGTAGCTTGGGGGTGCTACTGGATCCTGGCCTACAGTTGGAGGCTCAAGTCTCTTGAGGCATGTGGTGTCCTTTATTCATTTCAGCTGATTCACCAACTATGGCCATTCCTCAAAAACCTATGCTTTGACATGCTTGAGGAGGAAAGGGGGCCGCACTGAGGCAAAACAAAGATGAAAAAACAAATTGGTACAAAGGCGTCTTTCCTCAACAGAATTCTATCATCCTGTCTACCAGATCTGAATATAATCCCCCCAAAATCCATTAAGTAATTCACTGATCCTGCTGACAATAAACAACATTATCTTAAAGAATTCACAACATGCAGTAGTGATCCTGTGGTCCATGCAATATCATGTGGATGTGGAAAAATTCATATTGGCAAGACTAGTAGGCCTCTTAAATTAAGACTCTCTGAACACAAAGGCATCAAAGTTCAGTACACAGGAAATAGAACAAAGATGAGAGCCAAGGGGGATCAGATGGTGCATGTGTTGAATTGTCAGGATTAAAAGGAAGGCTCCATAATATACAAACATACCACAAGAGAGCCAAGTCAAGGAGCAATCCGACTGAGAAACTACAGGGTGTATGCCAGTAGCGTGGAAGCAGTACATAACATTTCAAAATGCCTGTTAGCTGGCTGGGATACCTTTCTTTCAGAAAGAGAATTTGAAGCATGCTGGAATGTAGATAGGTGGCAGCCAGTTCAACAGAGGATGCTGGAAAGCAAATCACCATCCTGCACTTGTAGCTTATCATCTCTGTTTTTGGATTGTAATGGCCTATGGCTAAATACAATAAAACCCTCCTCAGTACCTTCACATTAATTGGACAGAGTACTGAAGGGCGGGAGCAGACTTACAAGTGCTTGTACAGCTGTTGAACCACTATGCAGCAACACCAGCAGAAAATAAAAGCAAATGAAGTAGCAGTAAAAAGCCAGAGCTTGAAAGAAAAGCACAATAAGCAAAGGTTTCATGCTCTCATTACCAAATGTTCAGGATCAGAGTCCATGTCTAGGTGGACAGAATATTAGCAGGCAGAAAACAAGATTTGGTTTTTTTCCCATACTAAGAAAAACTGGTATTAACCTGCAGCAAATTCTACTTTGGAAGAATGGGGGGGGGGGATGCTTTATACAGTGCTTTTGCACGGTGTGATCTTCTCCCCCTTTGACAGCAGGCATTTTGCCGCTGCACCCTTTACATTTTGGAAATGCAACTATGAAGGCCAACAAGATTAAAAGTCAGTCTTTTAAGTCAGCTTTAAGCCATCCACTTCTTTGAAGGCAGATGTTGTTGGGAGAGTCTTAACTACATCCAAATTATCCATATCTACCAGTTTCAGAAGAAAGATCTACGGCACTGTGAAATCTCCAGACTTGCAGGACTCACCTCTCGTAACAGCATCCAAGGCACAGCCACATCCTGTGGCGCCTCCACCTATTACAAGAACGTCAAATTCACTGGTGTTCTGCAGACCCTGGAGCTGACTTTCTCTGGTAGGAAGGTGGCTTTGCATTTGCAGGGTCTTACATTCTGAAGCTTCAACAGATGCAAGATGACCCTGCAAAGATAAAAAAGGCAACATGTTACGATTCATATGTAACAGTGAAACCAGGAAAGAAGCACAGTCATCAGGCACAAGCAGAAAAGTCTATGATTCAACTTTCACATGTGCCACGAATAGCCACAGACAGCCTATTTTTTTCAACCTCAACTGCTTTAATAAAACTGGTGCCTATTACAAGGATTGCCAAAATCGTAACAGTGCTTTGTCTACTTGAAGAGCACTACATAAGTGATCAATAAACTATTAAAATAAACCAGACTTCTGAATTTTATACTTACAAATTAAAGTATATAATACAGTGAGCCAATTCACACTTTACCTTTTAGACATGGTATATTTAAAATACCTTAGTTTAAATGGTAGAATACACACGTTACATATTTCCCCAGGTCCTCACAATCTATGCGTGTGTACAAGTTCTCTACTGGGAACTCAACTGCCAGATGCACAAGGCCCCATTTGGATCAGGACCACAGCAATCAAGAAAAGAGGCCACAGCCATGCACCCTGCACTGTTTTCCTGACACAAAATGGCCTGTTTTCCCAGCTGGAAACTTCCCAATTGGAATTGGCATGCAGAATGCCCCAGGTTCAATCCTCAGCATCTCCCAGTTCAAGGATCTCTGGTAACTGGTTTTGGGATGGCTATTTCCCTGCCCAAGTCTCTGGAGAGCTGATGCCAGTAAGATTAGACAACACGAAGTTGGAAGGTCTGACTCCGTGTAAAGCAGCTTCATATGGTTGGATTATTTTACTATTTAAAATGTGTGCTCTTGGAACCTGGGTTTTAAACGTATAGCATAAATCTGCTCTCAAACAGACACGTTTTAAAAGTTCACCAACTGTGCAAAAATTAAAAATAAATGAAATTACACATTTTGTAGCATACTGGGTCCATGCCCACAAAAATGCTTCCCCCCCCTCACACACAATAATTAAATGTGCATCCATTTTATTAACATTTAGTGCCTAGGAAGGAAACTGACAGGAAAACAACACTTATCACTGTCTTAAAATCCATGTAAAGCAACAATTGAAGCAACCTTTAATTCTGCAACTGAAAATGTGTTTGATTTACTTTAATACCAATATAAACAACATTTCTTAAACTGACCAATATGCTGATATAAGGTCACCACCCCAGAAACTTGGCTATGCATGTGGTGGGGACTGTGCATATAAAGCTACTGGTTTTTATTCACTTATTTATATCCTGCCTTTCACCCAAAGCAGTTTACATCATTCTCCTCTCCTCTGTTATATGCAAACACACGATAATCCTGTTGTGTGTATGAGGAAACTGCCTGTTCCCCTTCTTCAAATATGTAAGCCTGAGTAGCCAGCCACTGTTACTGGAGAAAGAGTATGGACTAGGACACATAGGGTTGGATCTTGATAGTTCTTTTTGCTCAGTCTCACCCAATGTCCCTCATTACAGCCCCTCTCCCATATAGTCCATTCAGATCCCATGATCCCCATCACTGCTTTTAGGGAGTTTAAAAGAACTCCCTTCTTTTTCACCAGCTAAAAAACAGGTGACTCCAACCCACTGCGTCTATATCTATGGACAGACAACTGTACACGCCTGTCAAATAAATGCACCTCCATATGAGCAATGGCCTTTTACACATGGGGATCACTGGTTCAATATGGCTCAAGCTGTTTAGGAAATGCAGTATAAAAATAAGCTTTCTGCACCAATTTACTGGTTCTGAATGGAACATTTACCCCCCAGTCCTGAACATGGACTGGTTTCTGTAGGATTGATCAATACGTATTCTGGAAAACTGTACTGTAATTGTACTCTGGAAAACTAGAACATAGTGTTTGAGATAATAAACTGAGAACCAGTTCAAGTTTCAATTCAGGCATCAGCTCACAAACTACGGAGTCTTAAGCAAGCCATTAGTGTTCAGTCCCCATCTGTAGCATGCAGATAATATTGACTTGTTGTAAAGATCACTTACATAATGTCTATGCTTTAGAGATCCTTAAGGAAAATACTGAACACATGAAACTGTCTTATACTGAGTCAGACCAAGATCAATACTGTCTATGCTGATTGGCAGTGGCTCTCCAAGTGTCTCAGATGGATTTTATTTATTTACTGCATTTATACCTCTCATTTCTCCTAAAGAACCTTACATCATTCTCCTCTCATCCATTTATTCCTCACAACACCCTGTGAGGTAAATTAGGCTGCGTGTGTGTGACGGGTTCAAGGTCACCCAGCAAGCTTCCATGGCGGAGCAGGGATTCAAACATGTGTCTCCCAAACCATAGTGTAGCACTCTAACCAATACACTACGCTGGCTGACTATATGATACTTTTAACTGGAGATACCAGGGATTGAACCTGAGACTTTCTGCATGCAAAGCAGATGCTCTACTTCTAAGCCACGGTACTGCTCTTATTCCAAAATTACATCAACCAATGTGATCACTTTGTGAGCACCAAAGTCTTTCATAATGCTTTAAAATAGGCTTGCTCTGGAACGTGAGATGCTTTTTTCCAATTAACATTAAATAGAAATCTTAATAATATTAGTTATGTACTGTATGATCTACATTAAGACGGCCATAATTCCAGGTTGTAATCCACCTCTGATACTTATTAAGCTGATTAGCTCATATACAATGGTCTGCTGCCAAGTACCTTAATAACACAGAGAGTTACTTAAAATGCAAAGGCCACAAAATAAAACCTGCTGGTTTTTCCAGCACCTTAACCACTCTTGTTCTATCTGGGCATGCCACTCATTTACACATGCACCTCTAGCCTAAAGGCAACTCACAAGCGAAGCATACATCAAGCTTTCCAAACCAAGGTCTAAAGGGGACCAATAACCTTTTTCTACCTGAATAATTCACATACATTATAGGACTTTTAAGGGGGGAAATGTTTTGACAGAGTTTGTCTAAAGAACATGCAAAGGTAGAACTTTTTAAGTACACCAAAAAAAAATATTGCTGATGCTGACACCAACATATGAATGTGTGGATGTATGTAACTGTATATTTGGCAGGGAAGGCCACATAGTACAGCCCAGTCTCATCATATCTCAGAAGTTAAGCAGGGTCAGTACTTGGATGGGAGATCACCAAGGAAGACTCTGCAGAGGAAGACAATCGAAAACCATATCTGCTTCTCACTTGTCTTGAAAGCACACTGCTGGGGTTGCCACAAGCCGGCTGCAACTTGATGGCACTTTACACACACAATTGCTTATTTACAGTATTTATGAATTGCCTTTCTACTAAAGAGTGTACAGGATGATGAACAATTTTTATAAAATCACTAAAAACCTACAATTATTTCAATTCCAAAATAATAAAAACCAGCAAATAATTTTCAGATGCCTAGCTAAACTTGGTGTAAATGCTACATATGTCTAACTATATTCTTGTTATGCAATAAACTATATCAGACTTTGATATCAGTCTGAGCTCCCGCCCCCCCAATTCTAAACACAAAACTTGTAGTTTGGGTGCTTGGGTGTATTCGGGTGTTTCAATCATTTGGAAACCCCCCCCCCCAAAAAAAAACAACCCTTTTTTGTGGGCAAGAAACAAATTGTGCCATCCTAAGAATACTTTTCACTGAAAAGACCTGGGTAGGATTCTAGGTAGACCTACTTAGGATAGCTCTGTAATGCACCCAAATTCAAATGTTACCCAAAAGTGTGATCCTATCAAAGAATTCCTAAACAAAGAAACCTTCCATCTTGGCTCCACATGGCAAGTAGTGCAGGAGAATAAATCAGGATAATTCATCAGGAACATACAGGGATTGGTGTGATGTCTGCACACTATGTATCTACTGGTTGAGTTTTATATAAACTCTGTGGGTCAATTTGAATTCATTTCTTCTATAGAGTTAGATGTTATCTAAAGGATATTACAGTACCTACTAAGAAACACCACAGCGCGTGTTTTTATCACAAATTTTATTTCATGTTAGAAAGCTTAAACTTTGCCAATTCTATACCAAGGCAGAGATATTAGCAATGTCTGATAAGTGACATTTGCATTTTGGACTGTGCACAATGAATATGATACCTTACTAATTTCTACTGCATGAAAGAAGATACTGAAGACTGGTATGGAGGACAGGTGGTAAGTCACATGAATATTTCAGCAACCTTAAACAGATCCAGTCAACCTATGCCAGCAATATTAACTTTCTTCCATGTTCTAATCTAAGCTAAAATGCAGAACAGGACATAGAAATCTAGCTGAAGCTTATAGTCATGATCAGAGCAGGGGCCAGCCCATTATTTTCATTGCATTTATACCCCACCCTTCCAGCAAACGGGCTCGGGCCGCTTACAAGAGCACAAAGTGCATATATATAGTATACAGTATATAAAATGAATAAAAACAGTTAAAAATCAATACTATCAGGATGCACGGAAGAGAAGAGAAAACTCCCACATTTTGCATAGCAGAGGAGAAAACTAGGGCCACAGTTGGATGTTTCAAGGTCTTCCGGCGGTAACACTTTCTGGAGAAACGGTGGTGGTAGTGGCAGTGGCGGCTCCTACTCATATGCCTGGCGGAAGAGCTCCATCTTACAGGCCCTGCAGAACTGCAAAATGTCCCGCAGGGCCCTGATCTCCTCCGGGAGCTCATTCCATCAGATAGGAGCCGCCACTGAGAAAGACCTGGCCCTTGTTGCTGCAAGCCTGGCCTCTTTGGATAAGGAAGATTCTGTGCGACGTTCCTACATATTGCTATAGTACTGCAGAAGCCAAGAAAAAGTCCTTGGAGATTCTCCTTTTCTAACAGGAATACCAAGACAACTACATCATTGTTTTTCTTCACATGTAACACAGTTGAACCCTAGGATTGGCAACTGGTTCGTGGACAGAGTGATGATTCAAACATTAAATCCTCCCCCCTCCATGGATGTGGTACTAGAGAGAAAATAATGACTGATCTATAGTAGCGCTGAAAGCTGCAGTCACTTGGTGAAGATTTAGCAGGAGCCTGTT